TGTGTGTGTGTGTGTGTGTGTGTGTGTGTGTGTGTGTGTGTGTGTGTCTCCACCCTCACCCTCTCCCGTGATGAATACTTTATTGACCTGTCTGCTTTAGAAACAATGTTGCCAAAGCGGTGTAACACACATTGATTATTTTGTTCATCTCTGTCTGTGTGTTTCTCTCCAGGCCCATACTGCAGTTCCTTTGGAGCATACATACCTAGCTGATGGTAAGTACTTTGAGTTACATGGAAATACTCCCAAATACACATATTTAATATTTAAGTGATTTTTTTAGGATCTCACACACTTAAATAGGACACATGACTGGTGTGGTGCAATCCTTTCTCCCTCCCTCTACATCAAGTAACACGGCTTGGTCAGTGCTGTGTGGTGTCGACAGCAACACTCACACACACACACACCCCGCCTTCACTCCAACGGATGGAGTATATCGTATATCGATAGTCCACACCGACAGAGGGTAAGAGAGGTGGATGGGTCAAACACCACAGGACTTTCAGCTGTTTGTCTCCCGTGCGAAACCTGAAGTAAAGTTGACATTTTGTTAGTCACACAAATGTTTATTCATTCAAGTTAAAGTCAACCACGCTCTCTTCTTAAACCTAACAAAGTAGTTTTGATGCCTAAACCTTCGTGTGGAAAAGGAAGTCTATTTTGAATTATTTAAAATTCTTACTGAAGAACTTCAAAATGACGCCTCGTGGTAACAAAGATAGTGACTGCCAGTATCTGATCGTAACTCCTCTGATTTGCAGCAAAAGCAGCATGCAACGGTCCAAGAACTAATAATATATAAAACCATGCCTATTCTTGACCGATCAGAACTTCTGTCAACAATTCTTAGACCGTATTTATTATTTATGATTTAATTATTGACATCCTCACTCCCTTTTCTTCTCTATTGATGTACTCCACACATATAGGCAGCTATGCTTGAAGAATGAACATCCACGTTGTGACAACCAAAGCAGGAGAAAATCAGTCAATGAGAGGAAAACCAAAAATGTAAAGCAAGGATAAATGCTCATTGTCTATTTTAAAAACATGATTTGGGGCGTCGGACATTGCTTTGTATAATTTGTCAATGTCAAAGAATGGAAAAGCGTTCAAGGATATTTAAAGCGTAAAATGAAAGTGTGAGGATATTGGAGAACACAGAAACACACTGCAACTGATACAAATCCAGTGGGGCAAGAAACAATAGTGTGACGTCATATGTGTGACGAGAAACTGAAAGTGAGCACAACTAAAATGTGGTCTTGGTCTTGTTGTACTTCAAAAACCCACAGCTCGACTGCAGATTGACATTACAGGGGAATGAAATAGTCACTGTGCTCCTCAGTAATGTCATTGCATTATAAACATGGGTAAACACATACTCAAACAACACAGTGTGTTGGTCCCATCATGCCACATTCCCACTCCATGGGCTCTTTCTTGGTTTTCCATGAGCCAAAGTTTTGGATAGTACCTGGTACTTATGTTGGTACCAACTTGTTTGAGGCTCCAAGTGAACTGGGCCAATACTAGAAGGTGGAGTCAAAACACGGCAGACCACTGATTGGTCAGAGAGAATCGTCACTGGCACGACGCTGGACATCCTGCAACAAAGCTGTCATTTGTAGATAGCTAAGCTACTGTCACTAGCAACCGCAATTCTTTTTTTCACTTGACCAAGTTTTTTATAAATGGCTGCAAGCAAAACTACATCACACACAGTTGACAAAGAGGCGTTCCTCTGTGTGGTTGCCGATGAAAGGATTCAGTGACTGTTGCGTTGATGATGATGTCACGGTAGTCTCATGCTGCATCGCTACGACGATCAGCTGAGAATCCTGTTTCCACTGAGGAGGCAAAGAAAAGGACCTGAGCAGAGCAGCAGCAGTGGAAGTGAGGCATTTGTGTTCTCCATCAAACACCTCAAAGCTTCACAATAGGTGGAGAGAGCCTCAAACAAACCATGCTGGCTCATTAGACAGGAGTCCCAGGGGGACACTGAGCTGTCTGCTTAGCAGCAGACAACAAACACAACAACACTACGTTAAAATAGATCTGGACATATCGACATGCACAACAATCCCCTGCTCACATACAGGGAGATAATATTAGTATTCTTGTCATCTACCTCCTCAACAGCAGGGCAGAACACACACACACACACACACACGTCATGAGGCAATCATGCAGGTAGGCTCCCTGCTGTTGACAGAATAGACTTGGGCCATGAAGTTGTGTGTGTGTGTGTGTGTGTGTGTGTGTGTGCGCGTGGGTGTGTGTGAGAGAGATAAAGCCATTATGGAATAGAAGCAGCAGGGATGGATGGTTAGCTGTACTGAAAGAAAGAGAGAGAGCAACATTAGAAGAATGTCTATTTTTATTTCATATTGCCATTTCTCCCACTGCGGCTCTCATTTTACAATGTCATTGACAGTGTTGTCACCAGTGTCCATTCGGACTGCAGCAAAGCACTGGCGTAGAATAGGTCTTAACTCTACTGGGAGGTATGTGTCTGAAACTTTGGACAGGATCAGGATCATAGCCATGACTTCAGAGAGACAACAGCTACACTGGCTGCAGCATCAGTAACCACCAATAAACGAGAAGCTGCAGAGCTTCACTTCACAGGTTACAGTTCTCTCCACTCTGGTTTTCGACATATTGACACACAGACCTGCAGCAATAGAACAGGACTATACCCAAATAAAGCAAAACCCATGCAGTTTTAGATTAGATTAGATTAGAAAACTTTATTAATCCCCAGTGGGGAAACTCATGTGCCACCCAAAACTCATACAGACGACACATTCCACAGTGCACAACAAACAAAAACACATGACAAAGATTAAATAACACTTCACATTTTTTTGCATGTAGTATAGATGTGTTATTTTCGCCCATTATAAAATGGTGTATTTGAATATTCCTGCCTACTGTGGTCCCTAATCAGTGTTGAATTGCATATATTGGGTACGACTGGAGAGCTGACTCTTCAATGAGCTTAACTGTGTTCATGTGTTGTTCATATACTTGTATCATAATGTTTTAAGCCCTTTTACATTCTAAACTTGTAACATTTGAATTGGTGCCTAAAACAAAACACAATGTTTTTTACAGGTTTATGACTAGAGCAACGTGTTACCAAAACTTTGAGAAAATGCAACGTGAAAGTAGCAAATATCAATATGACATCTGCCATGAAGTTGGGCATCAGGACCATATTCTAATGGATAGGCACAAATAATGCATCATCTGACATTGTCTTTACTGCATTTTATCATCTCATCTTCATATCATCTCAATCATTTAACTTTACAAAACTAATATTTTGAACCAGGACCATCAGTGAAACATACAGTGTGTCAGATGAGGTAGGCAACAGCTTCTATTTTGATGTCAGATACATATTTAATCAATAATTAGGTAAATGTAATTATCCAATCAGACATTAAAGGACTACAGCAGGATACATCAACAATGTGTTATATCAAAACAATGCAATAACTCCAATGAAGAAAGTAACACAATATATTGCATTAATATTTATAGCAGGCTATAAATTACCAACCCCAATTACCTGTATTAGGAAAAAAGCAGAAAACATACTGGAGGTCTGTGCAGGAGGAAGTGAGGGGTAAGGAGAGACAGAGGGTTAGAGGAGACGAGAGGAAGGAGACAGTGAAGGAGCGGAGGAGATACTGAAAAAGGATGCAAGCATGGAGAACAGAACAGAGAAGACGAAAGGGGAGGAAGGAGAAGGAACAAACGCCCCCTCACTAAATGGTTCTTCTCTCATTTCCTCTGTGTCCATACTTTGTGCAAATCCCTCCATCTACCCATCTATAATTAATGCATACTCCTGTGTGTGTGTGTGTGTGTGTGTGTGTGTGTGTGTGTGCGTGATTGAATTGAACCCTCATACTGGTCCCATTTTAAAGCTGGTGTCCCTCTTTCCAGGCGCTTAAACCACCACAGTAGTGCACACACACACACACACACACACACACACACACACACACACACACAC